TCTCTCTCTCTCTCTCTCTCTCTCTCTCTCTCTCTCTCTCTCCCTCTCTCTCTCTCTCTTTCTCTTTCTCTCGCTCGCTCGCTCGCTCGCCAGGTGCGAATACCTTTACAAAGGTATCCGCCCTGTTTTTTATGAGTGACAAAAAATATATTTAGTTTAAAATTTGAGTATACCGTGTGAGGACGCGACTGTGTTTTGGGACGGTGATCTTATGGTTGACTAAAGTAGAGAGTGTGTGGGCGCACACATTTAAGGTGCATGTGATCGCTGTCTTATTGATGATCGTAGAGCCGACGTGGTGCCGGTCAAATTTTTATTGATTCGTGTACATACGCACGAGGACCGAGCCGTCGCACATTACACAAGGGGTTTAACGACCGTTGACTTAGAGGAGGGGTCGAGGGAGGACTTTGGAGTGCTTCAGCAGGCGCTCGCCGTGTGGCAGTCACTTAGACAGAAGTCCGACAATACTAAGCTCAGCCTTGGGCCTAACACTAGTAGTTACGGTGCCAAACTTTCGTCAAGGAGATTCAGGGATCGAGCCTAGCAAGCGGCGACATACGAGCATCGGAGCAGTGTGAAGGGACAGAGGGGTTGAGGGCCCGACGGTGCTATCCCCCATGGTTAACTTGCGCAGGGCCGAGGTGGTATTTGCAACTCTTTTTTTCCCTCGCCTCACTGTTTTCCTTTTTATTTTCGTAATTAATATTTTTTATCTTTGCTATGATTATTGTATTTTTGCTTCGTTATTTCTTCCAAGTTGGGCACGCCACCGAAACCGACGAGTTTAATATCCATGCGAGCAGGTGGAGGTAAGTTGTACCTTGCGTAGGCCCTATCTCGTCGTACGGGTTGACAAGAGGTATGGGTAGCGCACTCAGCACGAGTGGCTACGAAAGCTCCATTTGTACCGTGATAAAAGGATGAAAGTGCTGCCCTCAAATCCTGCGTGACGGGATCGAGAGGGTTCCCCTGTAGGACCGATACGCTCGACACTCTGTGTGTGGTAGCCCCCCCCCCCCTCCCTCTCTCTCTATCTCTCTTTCTTTCTCTCTCTCACTCTCTGTCACTCTTTCTCACTCATATGAACAAATGGAACAAAAATCTATATCTCTCTCGCCCTCTCTCTCTCTCTCTCCCTCTCTCTGTTGCCTCGCGTTCATTAAACATGCGTTCCACGTTCAGGGTTTGAACGCATTGAACGAGTGTTCAATGAATGTCGGTGAGAGCTCTGAACACGAACGTGCAGAGCATCATCCTTGCAGGGGAGGCCCGTCGGGGGCACTGCATTAGGGTGGCGAGTCCTGACGATCCATTTGAGCACGGGTAGGTTCCCGCTCCTGTGAAAAACATGCAAGAAAAAAAAAAAAAAAAAAAAAAAAAAAA